GACGATCATTTTTGTTTTAGGTAAAGCGCCAGGTATTACCAATAATCACCGGGTAATCCACGGGGGCGGTGAAACAAAGAGGCTAAAAATGGTCGGATTTGGTGAACTTGCACCACGAATGCCGCACCGAAGAATTCAGCACACACACACACACAAGTTCCTCTGCTGAAACAGATAACCCYGCATCGCCCAGGTCAGGAAACCCTCAAATATCCAGGGCGCTGCACAAGGTTTGAACCTCGCTCGGGAGCAGAAAGTGCCGCTCCAGCAGCACCGGCAGCCGGCGCGGAGCATCCTCGGGGTGACATCCTGGGGGTGATGCCACCATCCTCGGGGTGACATCCTCGGGGTGCCATCCCGCGGGTGACATCCTTGGGGTGACACCCCGCGGCCTGGCCGGCGTTATCCTGCCCTTCCCAGGAGGATGCGAGCAGGAAAAACCCCCCGCCCCAGCGGCTCCGGTCAATGGAGCAGCGCGGTCCCCGCGGGAGGTGCCGGAAGGGACAAAAGCGGAGCTCGGGAACGCGGACCCCGCGSAGCCCCCGCGGAGCCCCCCGGGCGCGCCCCCCGCGCCGTGCCCACCTCGCTGCGGGTGATGCGGTGCCGCGCCAGCTTCACCACGGCGAAGTTGCCCTTGCCCAGCGTGCCCTCGATGTCGTAGAAGCCGACGCGGACGGGCCCGAGCCCGCGGGGCAGCAGCGCCGGGGGCCGCCGGGGCTCGGCCATCACCATGCTGGGCTCGGGGGGCGGCGGCGGCGGCTCCGGGCTCGGCTCCGCCACCAGCCCCGGGGGCCGCGCCGCCCCCTCCGCCACCGACCGGCGTCACCATGCGCGTCACCGCGGGCGGGGCCTCGCCATGGCAACCGGGCTGTGCCCGCCCCTCGCCACCAGCGCCACCAGCGCCACCGCCGAGGGCCGGGGGGACAGCGCGGGACCCGGGCTGTGACACTGTCACCGCCACCAACCCCAGCGGGGACACCCGCGGGGACCCGGGCTGTGACACCGCCACCGCCACCAGCCCGGCGGGACTCGTTCTGTGCCACTGCCACCAACCCCAGGGTGACACCCGCGGGACCCGAGCTGTGCCACTGTCACCGCCACCAACCCCGGCGGGGACACCCGCGGGGACCCGGGATGTGACACCGCCACCGCCACCGCCACTGCCACCAACCCCAGAGTGACACCCGCGGGACCCGCGCTGTGACACCGCCACCGCCACTGCCACCAACCACGGCGGGGACACCGCGGGACCCGGGCTGTGTCACTGTCACCGCCACGGGCCGGGGGGACACCGGGCTGTGACACCGCCACCGCCACCAACCCCGCGGGACCCGCTCTGTGCCACCGCCACTGTCACCGCCACCCGGGGGGACACTCGCGCTGTGCCACCGCCCCCCACCGCGGCTGTGAGGCCACTGGAGCGACCCCTCCGCGCTGGCATCACCCAGCTGAGCGCCCTCGCCCAGGCAATGTCACCTGGGGCAGGTGGCACCGAGCGCGGGTTGGGATGTCCCCAAACCCCGGGCTGCGCTGCCGCTTTCCGTGGGACGGAGCTCTGTTGGTGCGGAACTCGTTGAGTTCCAGTTTGTGGCCGCTGCTGCTCGTCCTGTCACACTGAACAGAGCCTGGCACCATCCTCCGAGTCCGCTTGGTGACACTGAAATGCCTCGGTGACACTGAAATGCCTCGGTGACACTGAAATGCCTCGGTGACATCCTCTCAACCTCCTCAGAGCTCACCGGGTCTGTCCCTAGCAGGGGACAAGGAATGGGGCGGCCTCAGGTGTCCCTCCATCCCCAGGTGTCCTCCATCCCCTGTGTCCCTCCATCCCCAGGTGTCCCTCCATCCCCGGGTGTCCCTCCATCCCCRGGTGTCCCTSCAKYCCCAGGTGTCCCTCCAGCCCCGAATTGGGGGCTCCACGCACCAAGACCCCCGGCTGCTGCTCCTGGATCAGACTCTGCACGTCCTAAATGCGGTTTCCTGACAGAAATCCCCCCTCCCGGGCGCTGAGCAGCGTTTTCAGTGGGCCGAGTCACTCCAGACCCCAAAAATGCCTTTTCTTGGTGCGTCAGCCTCCTCAAATCCTGCTCAGCATCACACAGTCCTGAGCTCTGGGTGCAGCTCTGGGCCCCACTGTTTAGGAAAGGATGTGAACGTGGTTGTGGAGAAGGAACAGAATTGGTGTTGGGGAACAGGACTGTCCTGTGAGGGGCTGGGTTCTTCCAGCTCGGACAAAAGGACAACCTGGAATGCTTAGAGGACCATCAGAGTAGAAAAAGTGAAAAAATTTAAAGCCCTTTATGCTAAATTTCCTTTCCAGTACTAAATCCGCTGCTTTAACTCACTTTTACACATTCATTTCAAAATTCCATGCCCGTTTCAGCAATCTTTGCACACCCAGCCCATGCCGGTCTTTCCCTGATCACCGCCTCTCCCCTGCCCCATTTCAGCCTGAGGTTTTGATACTTTTCTGACTGATTTGGGAACCAGGAATCACCCCGGGAATCTTTGCTCGGTTCCCCTGACTAAACACATCCCCCGATGGCACAACACGTGCATGTTGAATCAGCAACAGCCACAAACACACCGAGTGGACACAAACAGCACAAAAAAAAAGGGGAAAAAAAAAACCGAGTGGAAGAATGCAAGGAACMAACTTGTGCCTCTCTTTCCATTTTTAGACAGGTTTTGCACGTAAAGCTGCCTCATCCTGGTGAGGAGCTGGTTCCTTTTGTTCAGTGTGGAGCAGCGATGACTGTTCTGCAAAAGGAGCTGCAAAGAAATGAATGCTTGTCCTTCACGCTCATGAGACTCCTCTCGGGAGTGACATTTGGGGATGACGCTGCCGGCTCGGGCTGCCATGGAGAATAACGGAGCTGTCKCTGCTCTGTTGATCCCCTCCAGGAGCTCTGGCGGTGACTAAACCGGGTTTAGTCAGACATCCCCYTTGGCAGTGATTGACAGGGACGTGAGCGAGCCTTCCCCAGCCCGACCGGAATAGCAAATGGTGTCATCTCCAACTGCCACTCGCCACATTTCACTCCCCTTTCACCTTTTTGTCGGATCCGAACTCAAAAGCTGCGTCCAAAGTTACTTTTTTTTTTTTGTGCGGAATGTTACGTAATACTCACCCTCATCGCTCTATTCTAAGCGGAATTTTTAGCCTTAAAAGATTTGTTTGCTTCCTGCCCACTTTCAAGCCTCATCCCGCTGCAAAATCAATTTTTAAGTCAGATTTTTGTTTGCTCGGAAGAGGAAACTTCTGCAGAAATCTCTTATGCTGCGCGCCTCAAAGTTGTTCACGGAAAGATCAGGTTAGAAAACCACGGCTTAAAAACKCTGCGAGARGAGCTGCAYCCGCAGAAAAAAWAAWAWTWAAAAAAWAATMATTGGCAGGGCAGATTTCAGCGGCCATCGAGGGGTTTTGCTCCGCTCCGAGGAAAGCGATTTGAACTATTCGAACTCCTCCCGGTGCTGAGCGGATTTTTCCAGGGCACAAAGCGTGGAGCGCACATGCCCTCGTGTGGTCACTGCTCCCGCACATCCTCCCGCGGCTGGGATATCCTGGAGGAGGCGGCAAACAGCGGGATTTATAAAATTCCTTCGCTTTAATAATTTCGGATCGCTGCCTGAGTCCGACGGGCGGCTCAGAAGGCCAGACCACACGTTTGTCTGCCAAAATACGGCTTTGCACACCTAAATTCCAAATTTTCTCTTCATTTTTCTGTTTTTTAGTGCCTAAAAGATGCTTAATAGCTGCCATAAAGGACAAAAATAAAAGACCCCAAGAATGCACGATTAAAAGTGAATAGAATTTTGCTYGATTTGCACTAATTACTGCATTGGAAACTCCAGATATTGTGAATATCCAGCCCTGACCACTTGCCTGTATCAGGATTTTGCTTTTCAGGAGAAATTGTTGCTAACTCAATGCTATTTTCAAAACAATTAGAAGGTTTTAAAATGCTTTTAAAGGGATTTTGTCTTCCAGGGATTTCTCTTGCACCATGAAGAGCCACTGCGACAGTGCAGAGGTGCAGAGCCAGAGTATTTAGGAATATTAGGAATATTTAGGAATATTTAGGAATATTTAGGAAGTGAGAAGCAGCTGAAACAACTGAAATATTTCAGTGTTTGCAGCAGCTCAGAGATCTGAAAACTTTAGCAGAGCAGATTCACAGCTCTGCCTGCAACCAGCTCTGCTGTTTTATTTAAACCGCCTTTGTGCCAAACCTTTATTTCCTGGCAGCTCATGAAAATCGGGTTTTGTTGTCCATTTTACCCATTTATTTATTTACACTTGGAGAAAAGCAAACTTTTCGGGAACAAAAGCACAATTTAGGTGCTTCCTAGGCTTGCTCTGCAGCAAAATGTTGCTTCTGGAGGCAGAAAAACATCTGCAGGACAAAAGGTGTGAAATATTTGTGTTCCTGCCTCACACTCTTTGTCTGCTTTGTCTCAGGCCCTCCCAGCAGGASGAGGGAGAGAATTGGAYGAGTAAAAAGTGAGAAAACTCACGGGTTGRGATGTAGAAATTTAATAGGCACGGTAAAAGTTGCACACACAAGCAGAGCAGAGCAGGGAATTCATTCCCCACTTTCTGCTGTTCAGCACCTCCAGAAGGCAGGGCTCCAGCACACAGAAAAGGTAACTTTTAGCACCTTTGAAGAGGAGTAAGTCCATAAATAAATAAGGATTTGGGATTGTCCTTCAGTTTCACGGCGTGTCTTTGGTACAAAAGGCAATCAGGGRTATCAACAAGACATTCTCAGGACAAAGCGGGCTCGGTGCAAAACAAAATCYGTACATTCTTCTCAGTCGGGATCTTTAAAAACCCCAATTCTTCCAGAAAACAGAAGAACACAGGGCCAAGGCCAACCCAGGACAAACACCACATAAACCATCATTTTAAGTGCATAGACAGGGCAGGTAAACGTGTTAAAAAACACCCACATTCCAGGGGGTTTTTTTGTGTCCGTTTCCTCAATATCCATAAATCTCATTCTCCACCCAGGTGGACTCTTTGCTCCTCCCCACGCGGTCCCCGCAGAGCTCGTAGATGTCGTTGGTGACAAAGCCACTCTCGGGGCTGGCGGGGGTGACAAAGCCACTGCTGGAGCTGTCCCCGCGGGGACCCCGCGCTCCCTCCCGCCCGCGGAACGAKGAATTATCGGTGCCGGGTCTGGCCCCGGCCAGGTCGGCTTCTGATTGTTTCCTGAGCACTTTGGAGATGTCCAGGTCGGGGCTGTCCCCTCCGGGGCTGGGCAGCCAGGCGCTGTCACCTTTCGGGGTGGCAGCCACACGCTGCTGTCGCCTGCGGGGTGAGGGGGAAAGGGAAAAGCYGGGAAATGCTTTGGTGCGGAAGAAAATGCGAAATAACAACAGAATTCTAACAGGAATTTAATGCTGGCCCTCGAGGAGAGATGGCAGAAACATTTGATCATTCAAAGTTTAATAAGCAGAAGGGTTAACACACTAAAATTATTATTTTTGTGACATTATTCCCTGCCTGCTACRTCTGTGAACACAATAAAATGATAGAATATGATTTACTTACAATTGTACTTCACGATTAACTCAGCCTGGAGCATCCACAACGCTTTCTAAGCATTTCTTTGTCACCTTACAGCACGGTGAAATCAGCTGTAAACCACGACAGGGTGTCCCTGATCATTGGGAACACAAAAATGCCACTCACCTCTTCACAAAGAGCCAAAAGCAGGAGATGCCTGTGATGGCCACCAGGAAAAGCAGCACAGGAATGCTGGAAATCAGGATGTAGGYAAGGCTCTGCACAGGTTCTGGGGGCAGAAATGGCTCAGGGTCATCAGGAGGGAATGGAAAGGTTTTCGTAGTTAATCACAAAGAAGATAAAAATTAGGMCACTTAACAGTTTTTTAATACAAATGGCTTTTTCACACCCAAAATATTTTACACAGATCTGGATTTTGAACGTTTTTACAGTCAGAGCAACCTCTTTAGGTGAAATATTTGGTGAAAGTGTTTTGGGTTTTTTTTTTCAGAGGCCGTTGTTTGTGTTCAGCCTTTCACATTTTGGGCCAAACCCTTGGAATAAAGCCAGGTTTGACAGCCCAGCTTACCTTTGGCTCCCCCAGCTGTTCCATTGGCTCCTTTCCTCCTGCGTTCCTCTGGGAATTCTGCCTTCCAGGGCTCTGTTGGAACAGCTGGAAAGAAGCAGCTTCATTAATACTGAAGATTTTTTTTAAAGAACCACAAAAAGTGAAGGTGAGGAAGGATTGAAGAAGCTGAGAGCTGTGAAAGGTGTGCTGGGATTTCTCTGCTTCAATTCCTGCCGGATTCTGCATCACCAGCAGCAGGATGGAGCATGGAATGGCACCGGGAAAATACAAAATTCAGGGAATCTTCTTGCTCAGGATGTGTTCTGGCTGCCCTTGACAGTGAATTCAGAGTATTTCCACTGGAATTCAGTGTGTGATTAAAAAAAAAAAAAATCTCAAATAAATATGTCCAACTCACCTCTTCGGGAATTCTCTATTGGCRCTTTTGTTGGCTTCTCTGAAAGCAAAAAAAAAGCACAATTTCCTCATGAGTGGGGAGARCACGTGTCCTGAACACAACCTGAGCTCTGTCCTTCAGCGCTCTCCCTCCATCAAACCCCACCTGAGATCCCAAACTCTTCACAAAAATCCTCAGAGAATTTACACGAGCCACAAACAGCTCTGGATATGAGACACTGGGATTATTTTCCCTGATTCCTCCATAA